TTCCGTAAAATTTTGAACCCATCGTTTTGTTTGCGCAACTCTACCTCTTTAGAATTTTCGCTTTGAAGTCCTGAGAGAAATTCGATTACGCTAAGACAAAGTAGGCCTTCCTTAGTGCAGATCACTTTCGAAGTCTTTAAACCAGCTTTTCAGGATTTTTTTATGATTTTTCCAAAAACCCCTAGTTCAGACAAGCTCAGACAGCCATTTTTGTCAGACTCTAATTTTGCAAAACACTGTTACTGCTTCAAACATCATAACTTAAAAACTTTGGACGGAGCTACCTACAACTATAGACTTCAAACAGCGGATGCTTTGGGTGCAAAACTTCTACCAATACCCCAGCAGTCATGGGAGTTTGGTCAAAAGTTGTAGCCATTGGAAGGAGAAGGAAAAACTGTGCAGGGTGCTGTTTTGTGTTCGATACTTTCTCTGATATGAGGATGAATTCACAGATGTGAAGTTTTCATCTCTTTTGACTCTCTCTCCCTTTGAGAAAGCGTAAGTGAAAAACATTTTCTCACAGGGTTACAATAAAAGACCTGCATTATAAGTCTCATGTCCTACCGAAGACAGGAAATTTGATGACTCCTAAGACTCCCTAAGATTATTTCCAAAAATGACTGTACCGATTGCAGGGTCTTTGGAAAAAAACGGGTACGTATAGGGAACGACCCTATGTGACTTTCGAAGGAAAATACTTCATATTGCTGGAATCCAGCAATGGATTGCTTTACACCAGTACGCTTCCTGTGCTAAATACTGCAGATCCGTCGCATTTTACTATGTCTGAAGTTCAGCAACAATGGATTCGTGAAGAGAACCAGGACAGTGAAGTTAGTCTGCCATAAAGATACAAACTTTCATAAAATGATTTTTTTCAGTTTACTATGAACATCTGGCTTCCAAACATGGGAAATTTCCCTAAAAATGTTATATTCTTCATCTTTTTCAACTATAGGTTGGATTATCATAGTCAAGTTGAGGTATATGCAACCACTTGGTAAAAAAAATAGCTAAATAATAAAATATTTTTCAGGCCGAAGTGATCCTTCACGATTCTCTACAAGTAGCTGAAAATACTTCGTCAGCGACCATATTAGGAAGAATGGCAGCAGATCAAAAAGAGCCATTCAGGTGACACAAAATATTTTG